GGGTGTTATTGAAACGGCGGTTGGTACTGGACTAATTTATTATGCGTAAGCGGCCGGTACATTATATTGAGATACCCTCATATATACCACAAAAACCCTAATGTGGAAAAGAGACTATAAGTTGCTGCCAACATCAACGAAGCAAGGTTGTCATCAAGTCATGTCATTTTGACTTTTGCAATTGATAATTTGACAAATGTAAATAATGAAATAAAATGTTCATAATTTCATGCGGATGAAGTCGCACGAAAACAGCTAGTATACTAATAAAATACCTCTAAAGCTGTATTATCTCTCTCTTCTCGATATGTATGAGAGGGATAATAATATTATGCATTATTCACACTTGGCCAGTACAGTTGGACAGTAACTGGATTGTCAACTGGTATAGTATTAATACAAACTAGTTTCATATAATCCATGCCTAGATAGACTGTCTTACTGTACTGGCCTAGTGTGAACGACGAATTACCTTTGCATTTTAAACCGAGATTTTGTCCTCTAGGTCGTCTAGACGCGTCCTGTCTAGCTGACCTGTCAGTCAGTCGGGCACGTCATTCCCGTGTCGGGTTTGGACCACGGAATACCCTGGCGTTTGTCACCACGTACGATGCTGTCTCTACCCTGCCTAAATGTAAATATATCTATTTCTATACGAATATAATATAATTTAAACACACTCTTTGTTATCTAGGATGTCAGCAGTCACAGTATGTTTTTGAATTATTCCTTTTTTAATAAATACCCTATTCTAACGACATGCTATAGGCTATATATTTTCACGCTATTAAACTTGGGGAGTAAGTATTTTGAAAAAAACTCATGCGGGGAAGAGACAAAAACTCCAAACCATCCAACGAAGCAAGATTGCTGGTAACGGTAATTGTTATCCAATGTCAAAGGATTTTATTGACATTTAAGAATTTCTTGATATTTGCAAAATATAGTTTTATGTACTGTAAACAATAAAATAATGTTTTTATTTTATGTAGAATCCGCACTTGATTAATAAACTCAATGCTTTCAAACAATACTGGCTGTTTTCCAATTGTATTCCAGTGGTTGATTGTTCTTTTTTTTTTATAACATAAGGTGGCAAACGAGCAAGTTGCCACCTGAAGCCGCCAAAATGGCGAAGCGACTGCCCATAGACATCCGCAATAGCAGATGCGTTGTCTACCCTTATACGACGGAGGAGGAGACGCACATAAAGAGGATATTGCCCCTATGCATCTCCTCCACCGTCAAATCCACTTCCCCTTCCCATCCTATCCTTATAAGAAAAGGGTGGTAAAGGGAAAGGGACTTAAATTAGGCCTCTGACACCACACTCATCAAACGAAACACGGAATCGCTTCCACTTCACGCCTGTCTGTGTGGTCGTGGTATTGGGGGGCGTGCCGGCCCATTCGTGCTAAAATGTTAAAGCGGGCACTACCACTGTTGTTGTTGTTCGCTGGACTGGATTGACGTGACTTTTTTATTTCCAGTGACGGAATGGTCAGATTTGGGTAACTATATGCTGGGACGTGGTGATAACGATTGGAGCGAGTCTGTAGTAACTAGACTGGCGATTGGCAGAGAATCTTCATATACAGAGGTAACGCCATCTATTGTATTTATACTATTATAATAAAGCGTAAACACATACTTCTTTGTTGTCTAAGATGTCAGCAATTACACCATATTTTTGAATAATTCTCTTTTTAATAAAAAGCACTACACTTACGTCACGCTTTAGGCTATATACTTAAGGCATTAAACTTAGGGGGTAAATATTTTGAATAAAAACCCTAATGTCGGAAAGAGACCATAAGTTGTTGCCAACGTTAAGGAAGCAAGGTTGCCATCATGTCATGTTGTTTTGACATTTGCAATTGATAATTTGACACATGTAAACAATAAAAATTTTATAATTTTATGCGAATGAAGTCGCACGGGAACAGGTAGTTGTTAATAAAATAGTCTGGCTACTTAATGTATTTTTAATTTTGTCCACCAGGAGGCGTTGCCGCGACAAATGGAGAGTTTGCTAGAGCTCAGTCGCGCGGTGGACGCGGAGGAGGGCGGATGTCCGCGTCTCGAGCTCTCCACGCAGCCGGAGGCGAGACGGAGACTGTTGGCTAAATTCTTGGAACACGCGAAGGTACAATTAATTTAATATTTTCGTTTCAATATGATAAAAAAGAAATGTGTAACGCACCCGTACTTTTCTCCCTTGAGATCACGCCACTCAACTCGCCCCTCCTACCAGATCAGGCCACGTTCTTAGCCCCTCCTCTGGACAGCACGCCTCCCGCGTTCCCGCGTTCCCGCTCCTCACCTCTTGCACCCCGTGCCCTGCTCGAGACATCCCCGTGTCGCGTCTCCCTTCCCCTGCCCCGCGCCTCATATCACGTCCCGTCACCCCCTCTGTTCTCGCGAACGTACATATGTCCTCAGAATCTTCCTGTGGCTCGTCGCATAGTTTTTATATAACTTTTTGTGGTGTAATGTTAACATTAGTATTAAAGACTAGCTGTTCTCGTGCGACTTCATCCGCATTAAATTATGAAAACATTATTTTATTGTTTATATTTGTCAAAATATTAATAGCAAATGTCGAAATGACATGACATGACAAACCATGGCAATCTTGCTTCCTTGATGTTAAGCAACTTATGATCTCTTTTGCACATTAGGGTTTTTTCCAAAATATTTATCTCGAAGTTTAACGGCGTGAAAATATATAGGCTAAATTACTACGTAAGTGTAAGGATGTTTAATAAAAAAAAGAATTATTCAAAAATATGGTGTAAATGCTGACATCTTTGGCAACAAAGTGTGTGTTTACGCTTTATTATAATAGTGTAGATGTAATTAATGGTTATAATAAAAGGAAACGGCTAAAGTAATATTAGTGGCTGTCGCTCTTAATTTCATTAATTTTTTTTTTTTACTCACTGATAACGTATATTTTTAAAGGTGAAAGAATTTCTTAAATCGATCCAGTAGTTTGAGTTATTTCAATACATACAAAAATACAAATATCTCTTTATATTTTTTTATTTATTTGTTAATTAGCCTTTTTATTGACATAACATTTTTACATGTATAAATAAGTATGGGATGTCACGCCCCCTGTTGGGTATAGGCCTACTCCATTTCCTGTTCTTGTTATATTTCTAGTATTTATTTTTTCATTTGTTTTTTCTTGATAAGAAAATTTTCTTATTTGGTTTAATACTTGTGGTTGAATTCCTTTTGTCTTCTTCATTTTGTTCATGCATACACATAGTTTTCGAGTAATGGAGGGTTGTAGTCTTACCTCCCGCGGGGACAAGCCGTATTGAGAGATGGAGAGGGGGGGGAGACGCCTTTCTTTATAACATTAGTATAGGTTAAATTGTGAGTGCAGTGATTAATGTTTGTTTTGTAATATTTTTACAGTGTGAAGTTGGCAATACATACAATCTGCAAGTTTGGAAGTTATGTGACGCTCTTTGGGGAGCTGATTTAGATAATGGCGGTAAGTTTTTTATATTTCAATTATTTTATTATTTAACATATGTTTTAAAAAGGCCTTTTTTTACTAAATTAATGTTCTAAGATATTCTTGTTATAAGTATTAGAAATAATTTACTTTTATGATGAAAATAGTAAAGAAACCGCTCCCATTAGATATGTTACTAACATTATTGAGGAAGTTTAATGTATGGATGTTTGTATATACATGTAGAGGAGAGTCTGAACACATAGGATAATTAATTTTTTTTCTAACTCCGTGGGCGGAGTCTTGGGTGAAAGCTAGTACTATAAACGCGAAAGTTTGGATGGATGGATGTTTTTACTAAGTATGACTCAATGTGAACGAATCTCGCTGAACTTAGCACAGATGTAGAGAATAGTCTGGAAGAACAAGGAATACTAAGGGCTTGTCCCACCACTGGCTGATAAAGGCTCAGATAGCTTAAAAATGACGTCACTGTCAGATAAGGAAACAAAATCCCCGTTTCCACACACTTCTTTGTGGCGTAGAATGTCAGAAATCACAGTATGTTTTAAAATAATTATTTTTAATAAAAAGCCCTACATTTACGACACGCTTTAGGCTATATATTTTAACGTTATTAAATTTTGGAGTTAATTAAATAAAAAAAAAACCTTCATGTCTGAAAGGGACCAAAAACTGCAAGCCAACATTAAGTGCTTCCTTAAGGTTATGATAACGGTAATTTTGACACTTGTAATTGAGAATTTGACTTTGCTAGTATCATATTAATGTTATAAATGCGAAAGTTTAGATGGATGGATGTTTGTTAGTTTGTAAGTCTAAACTGCTGAACGGATCTCGATGAAATTTGGTACAGATGTAGAGGATAGTCTGGAAGAACACTTAGGATACTCACTTTAGTTTTCTTTAATTCCACGCGGACGCAGTCGCGGGAAAAGCACACGCAATAAAATAAAGTTTTTATAATTCCATGCGGATGAAGCCGCACGGGAACAGCTAGTATAAATAAAGGTCAGTGTTATATTGTATTTATATTTTCAGGTGTCCCCGGTACTGATGTCGCTTCAATAGTAAACAGATATAAGCAGTTTATAAATTGGCTGCAAGAAGCAGCAGCTGATGTAACTCAGCAGGAATTGAAGATACCTGTCACTCCTGATCCTTTAGACGGTGAGTTTACTACGATGGATTTTAGCCACCATTTTGGTCCTTCGAGCACATACAATAGAGTACAGGTTAACCAAAGTAAATTATTTTGATCCTTCTTATCAGAGTGTATTTTGGTCCTTCGAGCACATACAATAGAGTACAATTTGTTGACTAAAGTAAATTATTTTGATCCTTCAAACCAGAGTGTATTTTGGTCCTTCGAGCACATACAATAGAGTACAATTTATTAACTAAAGTAAATTATTTTGATCCTTCAAACCAGAGTGTATTTTGGTCCTTCGAGCACATACAATAGAGTACAATTTGTTAACTAAAGTAAATTATTTTGATCCTTCAAACCAGAGTGTATTTTGGTCCTTCGAGCACATACAATAGAGTACAATTTGCAAGCCAAAGCATTGCATTATGATCTTAAAGCCTTAACAATAGAGTACAATTTACAACCAACATATAGCATTTATGTCTTTCAAGCCGGATCACATTTAGGTTCTTCAAATCTACATGATATAGTATAATGAATTTTGGTCCTTAAAGCCTAAACCATAGAGTACAATTTCCAAACTTATATGTCCTTTAAGTTGAAGCATAGCATTTTAGTCTATCAGACCTACACAATAGAATTCAATTTCAAACCAAAATATTTAAGTACTTCAAGCCGGATCACATTTTGGTCTTTAAATCCTTAACAATAGAGTACAGTTTACAACTAACGTATAGCATTTATGTCCTTCAAGCCGGATCACATTTTGGTTCTTCAAATCTACACAATATAGTACAATTTGCTATCTGTAGTATAGGTTCAAGCCAGAATGCATTTTGGTCCTTACAGCCTTATCCATAGAGTACAATTTCCAAACATATATGACCTTTAAGTTGGAGCATAGCATTTCAGTCCTTCAGACCTACACAATAGAATACAATTTCCAAACCAAAGTATAGCATTTAGTTCCTAAAAGCTGGAGCATAGTATTTTGGTCCTTCGAGCATAGACAATAAAGTCCATTTTGCAGTAATCGACGGTCACAGCGTGCGTGTATGGACGCTAGTGGTGGGCGGGCGCGTGGCGGAGGCGTGTGCACTGGCAAGACAGCACGGCGACTTGCATATGGCAATGATACTGGCACAAGCGACTGGTGAGTTATACATGTTACTAATATAATTTGTCTAAATAAGATATATTAGTTTGATAAATGACGTATGAAGTATCGAATTCAATTTGTATGAAGGAAATGCCGTACTTAGACAGGTATCGTAGTGACGAAACACGCAGCGAACAATTATCGAACTCAACTAAAATTATTATTTTCTTATTAACTAATTTATAGGACAATTCTAGTATTGATTATAGTGTAGAGAATTTAACAATGACAATAATAATAGCAAAATCCAATTCTATTATGTACAACTGTAGTAGTAATAAACATTTATTTACTCTCATTATTTGTAATGGTCATTATTAATTTGAGAAAACAGTGTTTTTTTTAATTCATAAGTTATAACTAGGAATCTATCGATTCCAAGTTATATCAAAATAAAAATCGAAAATCGAAAAGATTCATACATAATTTTACACAACTCATCCTTACTAAATTGTCAAAATAATCAATCTTATTTAGACAAATACCACTCAGTAACATCATACTAATATTATAAATGCGAAAGTTCAGATGGATGGATGTTTCTTAGAGTTTGTAACCTGAACTGCTGATTCCTATGAAATTTGGCATACCCGTAAAGAATGGTCTGGAAGAACACATAGGCTATTCAGTTTTTTGATGATTTTTTTATTCCATGCGGACGGAGTCACGGGCGAAAGCTAGTAGGCTATATTTTTTTTAATCTATACTAATATAATTTAATATATTTCCAGGTGATCATACATACCGTAAACTGATAAAAAAACAGTTAGATTTATGGCGCGAGTGCGGCGCGGAGCAGCTCATAGCGAGTCACAGACTGCACACGCTGCGGCTACTGGCTGGCGTGAGGCCGCGAGGACAGTTGGAGCTACTGGACTGGATTAGAGCGTTACATGTTACCGCTAAGTGAGTATATGGAAATTATTTTGAGAATTACTGGTTTATTCCCAACCGTCACCCCGCTCTGTCCCCACATGGGGCATTTGAGAAATAACATTTCATCCGTACCACCTTTTAGTTCTATTATCACCAATAAGGTGAGAGATGAAACCGTTAAGAAATAAGATTCAACCGTCCCCTAGTCGCAAAAGGTGGTACGGATGAATCTATTCTCATCTGTCCCCACGTTGGGACAGATCAGGGTGACGGTTGGGAATAATCCTAATTACTTCGCTATCTTAAGATAACTTATATAGTGTGATTCTTACGGATGGAACGGCTTTGTGGCTTTGAAAGGAGATTGCATGTGGCTGAGATGCGTATGTTAAGATGGATGTGTGGTGTGACAAGATTGGATAAAGTTAAGAATGTGTACATTAGAGGAAGTTTGAAAGTAGCGCCAGTGGTTGAGAAATTGAGAAGCAAAAGGTTAGCGTGGTATGGACATGTTATGCGACGAAATGATGGGGACATAAACCATAAAGTGTTGAGATTGAATGTGGATGGCTACAAAGGAAGAGGAAGACCGAAGAAAGTATGGATGGATTGTGTGAAGGAAGATATGCTTAAGAAAGGAGTGGATTCAGATATGACGGCTGATAAAGATGTATGGAAGAGCAGCACATACTGTGCCGACCCTCCATAAGGGATGAGGGCAAGTGGATGATGATGGAACGGCTTTGTGGAGTTAGAGGAAAGTTTAGATGGATGGATGTTTCTTAGAGTTTGTAGCCTGTAAGTAAATTGTAAAAATTGTCATGCGGGAAAGGGAGATAAAGTATAAGCTGACTGATAAAGTAAGGTTGTCATGGTAGCGGCAATTGTTATCCAATGACAAACACCTACGTTGTCATTTAAAATTGAGAATTTGATAAATGTAAACTATGTAATAAAGTTTTCATAATTTCATTTGTAACAAATTTTTAAAATGAAAACAATACTTAGGGCCTATCCCACTACCGGCAGATAGAGGCTCAGATAGCTTAAAATGACACTGACAGATAAGGGAACAAAATCAGATAATTCCATCACATCTTACCCTTACTAATATTATAGATGCGTAAGTTTGGATGAATGGATGGATGTTTGTTATCAGATTGTTTAGTATTGGAGTTGGATTGTAATCAGACAATTTACAATTTGGTAGGACTGACTTATAAATGTATAAATGTATATTTTTAGATACCTCTGCCCTCAAGTACCGCAGCTGGAGCAAATCATCAGAACATACGAGGGTTACTTCAGCAATTCTGATGAGGAGGTGGATCTCGCCAATATGGAGTTGGACGAGATGGGCTTGGCGGTGCCCCAGCCGCCGTATACTGAGGAATATGAAATCACCTTCGATGAGGTATAATTATTATTACTAGCTTTCGCCCGCGACTCCGTCCGTGTGTAATAAAAAAAAATAGTAAGTAGTAGCAATGTAATCTTCCAGACTATCCTCTAAGTCTATGCTAAATTTCACCGAGATCGGATCAGCCGTTTAGGCTACACCCTAATAAACATCCATCCATCTAAATGGATGGATGTTTGTTAGAGTTTGTATACTAAACTGCTGGGATCTCGATGAATGTCATATGTGTAGAGGATAGTCTGAACACAGGATACTTACTTTTGTTTTTATTTTTTTTTAATTCCAAAGACGAAGTTTCGGGCGAAAACTAGTCTATATTAATATTGTAAAGATAAAAAAATAGTATTTTTGTATGTATTTGATTCACGTAAAAACTACAGGGCCGATTTCAAAAATTCTTTCACCATTAGAAAGGTAACTTATCTGTGAGTGACATGACTTTTTTTTTATTTTTTAATTTCACGCTGCGAAGTCGCGGGTAAAAGCTATTACTATGTTAATTAACAAAATAAATGAAAAAATATACAAATGACAGATTTGCGCCTTATGTATGTTTATTTGTACTATTAACTGAATTCAATCTATACAGGGTAGACAGAGTATGGAATTTTTCTTTTTCTTTTGTTTTCTGTCAATCTTGCTTCTTACTAATATTATAAATGTGAAAGTTTAGATGGATGGATGTTTGTAGCCTAAACGGCTGAACGGATCTCTATGAAATTTGGCACAGGTTTAGAGCAAAGTCTGAAAGAACACATAGGCTACTTTTTATCCCGGGAATAGTTACTGTTCCCGTGGGATTCATTAATTTAGTTTTTTAATGTTTACTCGATCATTCTGCAACGGTTCAACATATCTTATTGAAATTTGGCACAGATATGAAACAAAGTCTGGAGTACACATGGGATAAGCTTCATCCCACAGAAATGTCCGGTTCCCGAGGGATACGTAGGTTTTTGTTATTTATGTAGTTCGTATGTTTTCTAATACTACGCGGACAAAGTTGCGGGCAACAGCTCGTTTTATAATAAGCTAATTGTAATGTTCTTTGTATTTTTTGGGATACTTACGAGTATGCTTTTCACAAATGGGGAAAAGTATTGGCTCCTGTCGCTGAAATGTATATTTATAAAGGGAAATAAACCATTTAAATTTGCACTGTTACAGAACAACAGCCGCCGTCCACTAGACTTGAGGTACGAGTTGGTGCGAGCGCGCGCGTTGTGTCGCCGGCCGCGGCTCAGCCCCCACAATTATACTGCGAACCCAATGGATTATAGTCTCAGGTAAAGTTATACATATATTTGACGCTTAATACGCTTTGGCCCGCGACTCCGTCCGCGTGGAATTAAAAAAAACAAAAGTGTGCAGTCTGTAGTCTGTGTGTTCTTCCAGACTATCCTCTACATCTATACCAAATTTCATCGAAATCCGTTCATCATATTTATCATCATCATCATCATCATCATCATCATCATCATCATCATCATCATCATCCTCGTCAACAACATCCATCCATCCATCTAAACATTCGCATTTATAATATTAGTATGAAGTAAAAAATATAAAGATTGAAAAAAAAAACTACATATAATAAAATTGGTGTGATTGTAATATAAAAAAAAAATCTAGATTTCCGGAATATGATGTATTTGAGTTGCTGATAAGGAATATTGCATTTATTGTTTTGTCTGTCTCTGTTTTAGTCCGAAAATGTTTGTAATGAATCATTTTTAGGTTTGATTTGAGTCTAGGTCTACAGGCAACTACAATCACTACTACCTAAATATTTACTTTACAATTTTGGACTTATTCAAAGGGGGGAGGAGCCCCCCCCATCGCCCTTCCCCTTGCTGGGCGTATTACGATGTATACTGTTGTTTAATTACTAGAAAAAAACATTTATGTATGTAACAAATAAACTCAAAAACTACTGGAGTTACTTCAAAAATTCTTTCACCATTAGAAAGCTAAACAATCACTGATTGATATAAGATATATAATTTTCTTTTTTCTACTTTAATGTATTTGAAGTCTTTCGACTAACATCAGGTAATATTGGGTGATTTATGACATTTTCTTGTAGGCGTGGTACTTAGGTATTTCAACAAAATAGTTGTCTTGATAGTTGGTGTAGTCGTAATCCCGAATATCACAATTCATATTTCCACTAAATGATTATAGATCATAACGATACGTTTCGATTAAGATATTGATTTGACGTCCACCGAACACATGGTCGCGCGCGCATTCCATCGCGACTCAAATGGAACTGACTCGAAATGACAAAATGGCCGCCATACCAGTGCTCGGTGTTCGCCATGGGCATAGAGTAAGCCTACATATTTAATAAATAATTATAGTAATTTTGTAAAAGCTGAAAACCAACGCGGCCTGAAGTCAAGCTGGAGGCCGCATCAGCTGATCCTTCTTTGGCCGAGAACTAATTTCTTTTGTTTTTTTTTTTTGTATTTTCTTGGCCAATAAATAGTTTTTTTTTAATTTTCAGTTTCCTACTGGGCTCCTGGCTAGGTCATCCCAGTACGGAGAGTATAACAGGCGTGGCCGAACAGTTGGAAGCTAGAGGATATTGGCAGCTAGCTATACAAGCGCTAGCTTATTTGCAAAATACTACTATGTGAGTATAACAACCCCCTACCCTTATGACACCCCTATGATAATCTATACTATTATTATAATGAGGAAATATTAGATTTTTGTATGTATTCGGTTCACGTAAAAAATTCTGAGCCGATTTTAAATAATTTTTCACTGTTAGGAAGGTAATTTATCTATGAGTAACATAGACTGTATTTTTTGATTTTTAAATTTCACGCGGACTAAGTCGTATGCAACAACTAGTCTAAGACTAATATAAAAAATATTTTTGTTTGTATTTTTAGAAATGAAACTACTAGGCCGATTTAAAAAAAATCTTTACTATTAAAAAGCTACGTTATCAATTACATAGATTATATTTTTTAAATTCACGCGGACGATGTTGCGAGTAACTAATACTAATAAAAGAATTACATCTTGCTCGTTAATATTGTTACTACTACAGAAGAAATACACCTGACATATATTACCCTTTTAAATGATTCGATTAGAAAATATTTTATTGATGATGAGATGATTTGACAGTGGTAGTGCCCGCTTTAACATGTTAGCACTGCAGGGCTCTACAATACCACGACCACACAGACAGGCGTGAAGTGGAAGCAATTCCGTGTACAGTCTAATGAGTGTGCCGGAGGCCTCATTTAAGTCCCTTTCTCTTTACCACCCTTTTCTTATAAGGAGAAGTTGGGAAGAGGAAGTGGATTAGACGGTGGAGGAGATGCATAGGAAGGGGAAATATCCTCTTTATGTGCGTCTCCTCCGTCGTATAAGGGTAGGCAACGCATCTGCACTTGCGGATGTCTATAGGCAGCGGTCGCTTCGCCATTTTGGCGATTTCAGACGGCCGCTTGCTCGTTTGCCACCTAAAAAAAAAAATAGATACTGATTTGTGTCTAAACATGAAATATGAAAAATATATTAACAATGTTCAATGACATACGAAATGACAAAACAGAGATATGTTTCGAAATCTTGTCCGTTTGTCTGTGTGTTTGTGTGCGCTTAACTCTGAAACGGCTTAACCGATTTATATCTAGTTTACACTAACCTTTAATACAATTGACGTAAAATTTAGCATTTTTACATGTCAATAAAAAGGTAAAAAAATTGTATTTTGTAATTCTAGGCGCGGTCATCTAATCCGTGGTGTGTTATCACGGAATGCGCCAATCAGACGAGGTGATGAAGAACCCGAGTTAAGTTTGCTGGAGAAAATGAGGATACCAAAGGAATGGATATTGTTAGCTCAAGCTGATAGAGCTAAATATGAGGTGAGTGGTTAAAGACCCCCTAGGGGGTTTAGGAGGTCGTGATTTATTTTAAAAAGAGTGGTCTGGAAAATAGAAAACCTCATTCGGGGTTTACCTCAGGGACATTAGAGGGACGTGACTTAAATATGGTGCAAGTTTTATAGAAAAACCCCCTAGGGGGTCGTGAATTAATTTTGTAGATAGTGATGTACAAAGTAGAAATCCTCACATGTTTGCCTCAGGAGGGTAGATTAGGAAATGTGAGTTAAGTTTGGGGTGAGTGGTATAGAAAACCCCCTTGGGGGTCGGAGTCTTAATTTTAAGAAGAGTAGTCTAGATAATAGAAAAACCTCATATGTTGTCGGCCGTAAGAATAAAGGAAAGTAAGTAACGTATGGGGGCGAATGTTCTGGAAAGCCCCCTAGGGGGTCGGATTGTAGGATATTGCAAAATATTGCAAAATATAGGGGGTCGTGAATTTTAATAATACTAATCTACAAAATAGAAAACTTACAAATTGGTTGGTCTCGGGGTAGATTATAGGGGTTGTAGACTGTTGAAGTTGTTCTAAGACTAAGGGGTGGTAAAAAAAAGAAAAAGGTTTAAATTTAGACATTAATTGCTTGATGTATAGGAATTATATAAAATCTTTCATTTGTATTGTTTTGTCCGAATGTAATATAGTAAATAAGGGTTTGTGATTTTTTTATGCTTTTTTGTTAACTAGCAATCTAGTCTGTAAGTATAGTTTACTAGCTTTCGCCCGCGACTTTCCGCTTGGTATTAAAAAAAAATAAACAAATAAATTTCATCGAGATCCGATAAGCCACCGAGACTACAAACTAACAAACATCCATCCATCCATCCATCCATCCATCCATCCATTAGATATAGTTTTCCGTTTTCCTTAAAATAGTATACAGAAAAGGACATCGCCTTAATATTAAAGGGGGAGCTAGTAAGATTGTACAATTTTTTTTAATTCTAAAGGTAGTTTTTGAGTTACCTATCCTGTAGATTTTAAGAATCTTAGTATATCAAAGTAGTTTAGTAGTTTTTTAATTTTTCCTGTTTTTAAAAATGTGTATTTTCTTTATGATAATTTCAGCATCAACCAAAATTAGAAGTGGAGTATTTAGTTGGCGCGGGTCAGTGGAATGCGGCGCATCGAGTGTTGGTCGACCAACTGCTCGCTGATTGCGTATTATCAGGTAAATATATATTTTATATCAGCTTTCGCCCGCGATTCTGACCGCGTGGAATTAAAAAAAAAACAAAGTGAGTGGTAGTAGACTGTCCTCTATATTTATGCCAAATTTCATCGATATCCGTTCAGTAGTTTAGGCTACAAACTCTAACAAACATCCATCCATCTAAACTTTCGCATTTATACTATTAGTATGATTTATATTGGGAACACCCGTGCGGTTTTATCCGCATAAAATTATTTTATTGTTTACATTCGTCAGATTCTCTTAAAAATGTCAATTACCGTTACATAATCATACTTCTTTAATGTTGGCTTTGTAGTTTATGGTCCCTTTCCCATGAAGTTTTTTTCACCAAATTTACCACCTATACGATCCATAGAAACTGATATTTAAAATTCAAGATGTTAAAAAGTAGCTGTAAATGGAAAACGTAGGCTATGACTAATAATTAAGCCACATTTATTTTATAATACAAAGTGACAAGCAAGCGGCCAAAATTCGCCAAAATAGCGAAGCTACCGTTACTTAAACATCTGCCTTTGCAAATGCATTATCTACCTAAATGGAAAATTTTAAATAAAAACGGCTAACTTAAAAAAAATTGCCATAAATGGCTAAGTTTGGATAATAGGTAACTTTTTGATTCCGCACTCAGTAGTGGATAAAAGCTAGGTTATTGTAATCTGTACTAATATTATAAATACTAGCTGTTCCCGTGCGATTTTAACAGCATAAAATTATTTTATTGTTTACATTAGTCAAATTATCAATAGCAAATGTCAAAAAACCAATGACTATGGCAATGCTTCCTTGATGTTGGCAGCAACTTATGGTCTCTTTCCCACATTAGTGTTTTTATCCAAAATATTTACACCCTAAGTTTAATGGCTTAAGTATATAGCCTAAAGCGTGACGTAAGTATAGGGCTTTTTATTAAAAAAGGAATTATTCAAAAATATGGTGTAATTGCTGACATCTTAGGCAACAAAGAAGTTTTTTTTTATAATATAAGGTGGCAAACGAGCAAGCGGTTACCTGAATCCACCGAAATGGAAAGCCACCGCTTCGCATAAACATCCGCAATTGCAGATGCGTTGCCTACCCTTAATTGACGTAGAAGGAGATGCGCATAAAAAGTACATTTTGCCTTCTTATGCGTCTCCTCCACCGTCAAGTCCATTTTACCTTCCCATCCATTCCTCATAAGAAAAGGGTGAAAAGGGAAAGGGACTAAAGTGAGGCCTCCGGCACCACACTCATCAGACTGTACGCGGAATTGCTTCCACTTCACGCCTGTTTTCTGTGTGGTCTTGGTATTTCACTGGGCGAGCCGACCCATTAGTGCGAAGATGTTAAAGCGGGCTCTACCACTGTGAGCGTGTTAGTGAAGTGTGTGTTAACGCTTTATTATAATAGTATAGATATCAAAAACTACAAACTACTACAATTTCATGAATTCTTTCATCATTAAAAAGCTACGTTAACACAGTGTAGGCTGTATTTTTAAATTCCACAAGACAATCGTAAAAAGAAAACGTAGCCTGAAACACAGTTATCACTAGCTCAGGAGACAGAGTCCCACTAACTGTACTAAACAGTTTTAGATCAATAAAGAACTTTTTTTTTATTGTTTTTTTAATTCCAAGCAGATGAAACCGCGAGTAAAAGCTAGCTGATGTGTATTTGTGTTTTTTTTCAGATGATATTGAAAGCATTCGTAATGTACTAGTGAAGATGAGCGAAGCCGCGCAACGTCACGAGGTGAGCGGCTGGGAGTGCGGCGGGAAGGCGCTCTACCACTACATGCATGTTTGTGATGAGGTTATAACAGTTATTATTACATTAGCTATCGCCCGCGACTTCGTCCGCGTGGTATTAGAAAACATACAAACTATAAAAGGTACAAAAAGCTACGTATCCCGGGAACCGGACATTTCTCGGAGATGAAGCTTATCCCATGTGTACTCCAGACTTTGTTTTATATCTGTGACAAATTTCAATAAGATATGTTGAACCGTTGCAGAATGATCGAGTAAACATTAAAAAACTAAATTAATGAATCTCACGGGAACCGTAATTATTCCCGGGATATAAAGTAGCCTATGTGTTCTTCCAGACTATGCTCTAAATCTGTGCCAAATTTCATGGAGATCCGGTCAGCCGTTTAGGCTACAAACGCTAACAAACATCCATCTCAACTTTCGCATTTATAATATTAGTAAGATTTCCTTTGCACTTAAATTAAAAATAAAAATAAGTATTCTATGTCTTTATCCAAACTATTATCTACATGTATGACGAATTACATAAAAAATCCCATTAGTACTTTACGGTACAAACTGTAATAAATTTTACTAATGTTTTTTGTTTTGTGACCTAAACTTTCGAACGGATCTCGATGTAATTTGGTATAGATGTAGAGGATAGTCTGGAAGAACACACAGCCTACATTTGATTTTTTTAATTCCTTGCAGATGAAGTCGAGGGCGAAACCTAGTAAAACAAAAATATGATGCTTTTTTTTTAGTAATATACACTATTCCGTCACCGTGAAATTAAAAAAGTAGCCTATTTTACTCGCTGATTAGCTATTTAATGGTTTCGAAATCGGTCTAGTAGTTTTTGAGTTATTTCAATATATACAAAAATACAAATCTTTCCTCTTTATAATGTTAGTATAGATGTGGTATATTTTGTATAAGTAAAAAATTGTTAGTATGATTGTATATTGTCAGGTGCGCGGCGTGGTGAGCCTGGCAGAGGGCGCGCGGGGCGGAGCGCCGGGCGGCGCGCCGGGCGGGGCGCTGCACACCCGCCTCGAGGCGCTGCGCCCCACGCTCGCCGCCGCCTGCCTCGCGCTGGAGAAACTCACACCTAAGTAACACTTTCTATACTATTATAATAAAGCGTACACACTACTTTGTTGCCTAAGATGGCAGTAATTACACCATATTTTTAAATAATTCTTTTTTTAATAAAAAGCTCTATGCTTACGTCACGCTTTAAGTTATATATTTTCACGCCATTAAACTCTGGGGGTAAATATTTTGGATAAAAACCCTAATGTGGGAAAGAGACCAAAAGTTACTGCCAACATCAAGGAAGCAAGATTGTCAAGGTTTGTCATGTCATGTCATTTTGACATTTGCTATTGATAATTTGACAAATGTAAACAATAAAATGAAAAATTTCATAATTTCAAGCGGATAAAACCGCACTGGAACAGCTAGTATGTGTATATTTTTTTTAGCTCTCAAACGAAGTGACTGGATAGAGATAACATGGGTCTAAAATGTCTTTGATTGTGAAAAATATTGAATATCAAACTTTTTTTATATAACATAAGGTGGTAAACGAGCAAGCGGCCACCTGAATCCGCCAAAATGGCGAAGCGACTGCCCATAGACATCCGCAATTGCAGATGCGTTGCCTACCCTTATACGACGGAGGAGACGCACATAAAGAGGATATTTCCCCTTCCTATGCATCTTCTCCACTGTCAAATCTACTTCCCCTTCCCATCCTCTATAAGAAAAGGGTGGTAAAGAGAAAGGGACTTAAATTAGGCCTCCAACACACTCATCAGACTGTACACGGAATTGCTTCCACTTCACGCCTGTGTGTGTGGTCGTGGTATTGGGGGCGAGCCCTGCAGTGCTAACATGTTAAAGCGGGCACTACCACTGTTAAACCTACAGTGAATTATTTTAATATTTTCTTAGTATTGTGGTATATTAAAGCCTGTTATAAATCCAGGGACGGCAGGCAGGCGGCGGCGCGTGCGGAAATGGGAGGTCGGTTGGTACAACTCGCTCTCGCCGGAGGTCAGCCGCCGAGACATCTCGCTGCGTTGTTACGTGCATTACATTTACCCCCTGATTGTACTGTGCAGGCGCATTATAAGGTATAAAACTACCAATTTCTACCAATTTCTACCAATTTCTACCAATTTCTACCAGTTTCTACCATTTACAATTAACAGTCTTCTTTAATCGCTTTATTTCTTACTAGCTTTCGCCCGCGACTCCGTCCGCGAGGAATTAAAAAACAAAAGCGAGTAGCCTATGTGTTCTTCCAGACTATCCTCTACATCTATGCCAAATTTCATCGAAATCTTTTCAGCCGTTTAGGCTACAAACTCTTAACAAACATCCATCCATCTTAACTTTCGCATTTATGATATTAGCCTATGTTACAAATAAATGCCTTTCTAACGTTGAAAGAATTTTTAAAATTGAACCAGTAATTTTTACGTATATATACGAAAATACAAATCTTTTCTCATTATAAAGAGAATATATAATATTGTGTTTTTATATAAATAAATAAATGAATGAATGAATGAATGAATGAGTGAGTGAGTGAGTGTGTGAGCTAGTAAGTAAGTAAATAAATAAATAAATAATATTAGTATAGATAACTATGATCTATCAATTTCAACTTCTACGAGAGTAAAGTTTTTTAAAAAAAAATGCATACTAAACTGCTGGGATCTCGAAGATTGTCATACATATAGAGGATAGTCTGGAACACATAGGATACTCACTTTTGCTTTTTTAATTCCAAGCGGAGTCGCAGCAGAAAGCTAGTAAATATATAAATCTAGGTAACCGATATGTTTTTTCATACGTTTAATTTCTTCACAGATCACAACGGAATTGGCGGAACAAGCTTCAGAATTATGTATCGATACTCCGATTTCGTCGCAACGGAGTCCAACTTCCGCACGTTGTTAGAACTTTCATATAGAAAATATTATCAAATCGAAAATTAATTTTGATATTGTAAAATTTATTAAGCAAAAATCACCGAAAATCTAAATAAACTACAATTTTAGTAAACAGCTTTACAAAAAAACGCGGTATAAATTTAAACGTAGGAATAAACTAGGATTTGTACTAATACTTGCTTATACTCAGTTTATTCCCAAGTTTAAATTTATTCCGCGTTTATTTGTAAAATGTGAAACTCTAAAATTCTAAAAATTTTTTAGTGAAACACGATTTTTTTTAACATTAGGTACCCTTTACAATTTCTATGAAATTAACTAGAACAAGTGGAAAATCGTAATGGCCGACATATTTTACGCGTTTTTATTTAATTTCGATTTTCATTTAAATCGATAGTTTTTTTAATAGTTGCAACTCAAATCCGTATTTAAAAGTACTATAAAATAATTACGCAATAACACTTTGATTTTTTTTCCTTAAAATTACTTACGTTTAAAAAGTTATTTATTTGAATAAAAAGTGCCAAATAATGATTTCAAATCTCCTAATAAGGGCCTGTCCCATAATTGGCTGATAGAGGCTCAGATAGCTTGAAAATATCACTGATAAGGGAACAGAATCCGATATTTCCATCACATATTTTACAAATTTGGTGAAACAGGCCTTTAAAATTATTAATAATCTACCAATAGTTATCCTACCGTATTGTAAAAAAGTAATATATGGCAACATTATCTGTTTTTATCTGTGAAATTTTGTAAATCACTGTCAAAATCAATGTTTAATTATAAGTCGATTTCTTTAGCCAATGTTTGTTGAAATATCACCAATATTCCAATATGTTTAGAATATTTGGCAGATATTTGATCCAATATTGAGTTTAATATTAAGTTGGCATGTTTATATAGGTGCTTACATATGGTTTAATGCAACAAAGGCAGTTTTCAGTTGATTTTTACAAGACAATAGGCAATATGCATACGACGCCAAATTGTACCAAACTTTTTTTAAGTATACTTTATTACAATAAAAACATGCCTGCAAAGATTTTTTTAAAATATATAGTGATTTAGTGGCAAAATTTAATCATTAAAAAGTGTATTTTTTCAAATTCCCTCGCTAAGTTCTAAAACGCACACTATTGGTCGAAGCAAGTGGCTTATCTAATATGGCGTCGCTGTGTTCACAATACACAGTTCATTTACGTTAGTTCATATAGAAATACACTCTTGAAGTGTTTTACTGTAAACACGATATCAAAACCAACTTTGAAATAAAAAATTAATGAATATAAAAAATACGTGCATATTTAATGTTTTTTAAATTTACTTATTTTTTCCTTTAAAATTTTAAATTTTACAAATTCATATTAAGATATTAACAATAGGCTTCAGCAGTAATTTAATTTACCGAAAACTTGGAAAGTCATTTTTTTTATTTAATGTACGTTGTTTATGTTTAAAATTGTCACTTGGTACATAAGTAGTATCTGTGAAATTTTAATTAAAAAAATAAAATATCTATCCTTTAAAGACATTTTTTCAAATTCTTCCCGTCATAAAAGTGGGAAGGAGAAGGATTTTTTATTTCGACCACCTTCTGAATCCATTTGTTAAGTCTATCAAAAGGTTACATTCAAGTTACTTTTGGCGTTATATAGATTACTCTTTTGTCTGTCATTTGTGAAAAAAAGGTATTACGTAAATGTTTAGGACAATGAAAATATGTCTATTTATAAATGTTACTTGATAGTTAAGTGTATTATTAATTAGTATGTGAGCACCTTTATTTAACCATTTTTTCTTTTGTCGATGAAAAAGTTATGTTTGTATGTAAGAATATGTTTGGTATGTAATAAAGAATATTTTTGAATAAAACTACTTTTATTTCACTTGGTTAACGATTTTCATCCTTTATTCTGTCAGGCTTGAAGGACACTAAATTTTTAAATTCGTCATAAGGGATTATAAAATATACATGCTTTTAAAATACTTGTTACAACTTGACGGTAGGAAAACAAAGACGAAGTAAGAACACATTTTTTATGGTAACCCTAAAAATGTTGACATTTCGTCTCTATGGTTCCTGCGCTTTTGTCGGTGGTCGTAGCCGCGCCATTAACTTTTACTCTTTGTTTTTGACATCAATGAAAGCATTATTTTCTCTGTGATAGTTTGGAAATGTAAACATAAACAGAAATCATTTCACACATATTAATTTTTAATTTATTAAATGAACATTGAGCTTTATAATAGAAAATGTCGGATATACATGACGGTCCAATCTTCATCGACGTAGGCGACGACGAGCCAGCTGAAATATGCGTGGATTTTGCTGATAATACTGACCAATTAAATTCCGATAGTAATAGGAAGGAATCAAGGTAAATCTGCCCTTCATACTATATCAAACATTTACTAGGAAAGTGTACTGAGTATACCAACCAACAAAAACAAAATTTTTATCCCATATCCGACCGATCACCTGCCTGGTTTACATTGGGACAATCTGTACGATAGTATGAAGTCTGCACCAGTTAGAGTTAATTAGCTAGTATGTCAGTCCAGTTATCGAGCACTGTCCAATTGTGCTGGCCAAGTGTGAACATAAATTTCAATATTTCTAACAAACAGCTAATTGAAACACCAAATGTGACTTTAAGGCCTTTAAGAGTAAAGTAAATAAGTTTTTTTTATAGATTATTAGTAATTTACTAGTATTTATTTTAACCATTCCAACTAAGGTCTAAGCTTGTAATATGGTTCACAACAATAGTCCAATGGCAGGATTCAAACCCTTGATTGCAAGATCCGTAGTCCTTACCATAACGTTGTTAAGTTAATTTATTAAGTTAGAGTATCTTTCAACCACACCAAAGGTTGGATCACGATCAAGTGGTAACTTATTAAACACAAAAATGATGATTGACACATTTTGTATAATTGTATTATCCATATAACAGGAAATACCAGGATGTCTTTCTAAACGCACAAAATCGGAGATATCGTTGTTCGGAATGCAACAGATACTCAGCGGAAACTGAAGAGAAACTTCAGCGTCACATAAAGAAAGTCCACCGCGGAGAGAATCCATTCCAATGTTACATGTGTGAATACAGTACATACAATAGCTCCGTATTTGAAGAACATTTACGAGTACACCAAGGTAAACATTGTCCACATGGAATTAAAAAAAAAACAAAAGCGGTCTATGTGTGTTTATCACAAATTTCATAAAGATACATTCAGTAGTTTAGGCTTTAAATTATAACAAACATATCTATATTAACAATATGAATAAGAGTAGCTTTTGCCCGCAATTCCATTTGCGGGATTTAAAAAAAAAAGTGAGTAGTCTATGTGTTCTTCCAGACTATCCTCTACATCTATACAAATTTCATCGAGATCCCTTCAGCAGTTTAAGCTACAAACTCTAACATCCATCCATCTAAACTTTCGCATTTATTATATTAGAATGAAGTATAATTATAGCTATTGGTTATTTTCTGATGATTTTTCACTAATATGTAAGTTTGTTTTTATGTATGTAAATTTCTTTGTAACCTCCTACAGCATAAACTATTGAACAAATTTTGATAAATGAAGTGCTATTAGATTCATTTTCTCCGGAATGTCATAGAGTATAATATAATGACACTAAATACCGGGAATATGAAATTTAGGACCTCTCCTAAATTGTTAATTGTCTGATAACATTCGAACGAGCAAAATATGTGATGGAAGTATCGGATTTTGTTTGTTTATCTGACATTGACGTCATTTTTAAGCTATCTGAACCTTTATCTGTGGTGGGACAGGCCATTAAACTTTTAAAAAAATAGTAAACAAAATGAGTTTGAAACTCATGACTTTTTTAATTTCTAATGCTTAATCTATTAGATTTAGTTATTTATGTGTTTTTTTTATATGTTAGGTTATTTTATTTACTTTTGTTTCAGGCATAAAACCATACAAATGCTCCAAATGTCCGTACAGAAGTGTTTCTAAGAAGAACACAAAAAAACATGAACTAATCCATCGTCCAGACAACCCATTAAAATGTACACAATGTGATTTTATAGCCAGACATTCTAGATCTCTTCTCAATCATATAAGAAAACACGATATGGAGACGGTTACAGAGTTTAAAGAAGAGAAGGACATAGAATGTAAACGATGCGATTTTATAGCACATTCTAGAAGTGAAATGTTACAGCACAAAGTTAAAATGCATACAGATGAAAAGAAAATCAGATATTTAGAGGATGTGTTCACTTGTGAGGTTTGCGGATGGTCTTCTAGGAATAGACCGAAGATTCTTCTGCATATAATACACCATCCAAATCAATATATCGATGAAAATGTCATAGATGTTAGCATTTTAAAAAAATATGGCATTATAGATGTTTAAGAAACAGATAAACAGTAAATCTAAAGAGACTAAAGCCTCCTACACATGTTTACTTTTATCGTAAAGATTCGACTGTTCAGAGAGAATTTCTATTGAATACGACTTTAGAGGGAAAATGTAACCTCCCAATACTGTAAATAAATTGATAAGTCAAATAAAACACTTTTATATTATTTCATTGTTTATTTATACTTTATACAGATAAAATACATACAAATTGAAAGATGGGGTAACCTCTATTTTAAAAATCATTGTCGTTAACTTATTTCTATTTAATTACCTTCCATATCCTTCCTTTCTCTCGTGTGGTTCCATTATATGAGAATATCTGAAATAAATACACTTTTAATAAAATACTTTATTATCAAAACTTTTAAAAGATTTTGCATACTTGTAATTTCCCGCCAACCATCCGTAATGTCCCATAGATGATGCAACCTCTGAGAAGCGCGCGAACTGTAGGTACCTAAAGGTAAGAAATTAAAATTAAAAAGTAAACTGAATTGATAATCTTTTAAATTTACTAAAAAAAATATTAAATAGCAGCATAACAAGAAGTATTTACGCGTTATTCTTACCTGGATGAACCACAAAACGACCAACCAAGATTAGAACTTACGACATTTTCGTCTTCATTCGGCGGTGGACTGAAGTCTAGGATTAAAAAACAAACTCTTGTAATATCATCATATAGCTTAGGTAATATAAGTTAACACTGGGGTAAGTAATGTATATACTTTTTATCATAACAGAATGTTACAATGCCTTTATATTTAATTATTTTGAATTAATTCTTAATTAGTAGAACACCAATACATTTTCTTTGAGCATCTAGCAGTGTTTTAGAGGTAAATCAGTCGAGATTCTTTTTTTTTAATGATTTGCTAGTTATCTCAAAATGTAAGTAATAAAACAGTTCACGTACCCTGCCAATGTTTACAGTAATACAAATCTCCTGAACAATGGTTTACAAATGTGTAAAATTTGAAATATTTCCCGAATCCTCTGTTGACACTCACACAGACGGGAGCATAGGTTTCAGGACACGACAAGGGGCAAGGATGGTAATCAAATGCTGAATCTATATCGTATAATGTGCTAAATTCTGAAGAGCGAAGATTAGGTTTTTTATCTGAAAAATAACATCAATATATTGAGAAATATTTACAATAAACTAGCAGTTCTGTAGTTAATATAGTCTTTGATAAAAGCATAGATATTATACAGTGGTTTATTTTTAACGTCTATTAACACAATTATGATTGCCAGTTTGTTTTTGCCAATTGAATGTTTTAAATACGATGAAGATTACTTGAAGCGTAAATTAAATCTTTAAACACATAAATACAACACAAACCTGTTACATTTTTAACAGGCAACAATTCGTTGACGCTATTTCTGCGCGATTCCAAATATTTTTCACAAGTGCCGCTCGAGGCAATATGAAATTCTGAAAGTAGAGTATTAAGATTTAAATGGTATAAATGTTCTTTCGATGCAACTTACTTGTTTTCGAATTATTTTTAGCCTTTACCATACTACAGTGAAAACGAACCGCTCGCTATCGAATTTCACCATTCGATTAATTTCAACGATAACCTTACAAGTTATCCCATTATTTTTTTTTGTAATATAAAAACCATTAAATACATAGATTACCTTGTCCAGGATTCTTGCACATATTATTCATAAATAAATAGCATGAATTTTCAAATTCTTTATATTGTGTTTCACCATCAACAATTCTAATTGCACAGACTATAACGTTATTACTTTTACATATATCATCTGTGCTTGCGCATCTTTTCTTTATGTGTTCGAATTTCAAATGGGTGTCGTTCGAAAAATTTTCTTTTATTTCTTGTAGCTTCATATAGAAACTTTTTGATATACTGGAATTTAGGAATATAAAAAGTATTGTCAATGTAGGAAAAAGCATACTACTGTTTTATGATTTAATTATTTCTAGGGAATTAAAGTAGTCATGCTTATTAACTTTGTAAATTAATAAGATAATAAGTCAAGAGCTTTACACAAAAAAAATTGCATCTAAATGTATTGCTATAAATAAATAATGATAATTTATTTAAAATAACTATGTTAAAGTATGACGGAAAATCAAACATTTGCTAAAAGTGTGTTAACAAACTTTTTCTATCACGAATTCTATTACATATTTGTAAAATTACTTAATTAAAAAAAAAGATTTGCCAAATTGAAGTATCCACTTTCGGTAATATAAACTAAATGTGGATCAAAGGAAAAATATTTATAACCTCAATTTATTTTCGTTATAAAATATATTTGATGCTTATTTGATGTTAAGTAATCAATAAACTCGTTTAAAATTAAAACACGCGTAAACCTTCGCGTTATGTTCTATCTTTTTATGAAATAACGTTCACACAACTCCTAAGTACTATCAAATAATGTAAAAGTTGCCTCGACTAGTCTTTTATGTTTCTTTATAGTTTAATATTCGTCTCGTCCCATTTACGGAACGAAACGACACCAAAAAATGTATTTAAGTTCTTGGAACTCAAAAACTACTGGCGATAAATATACAACGTCAACTGTGTATAATTAAGACGCAAGCAAACGATACTTTGCTATCTAATCGTACAGCGCCATCTTTCATAATAAATATGACATTAATATTAACATGATTTGGGATGTTACCTTTATGTTGTTGGTGTCATGATTTTCTAAAAGATGGCGTTGCATGATAGATTTAAAAAAATATCTTAGTGTAAAAAGGAATTTTTATGATTTTAATTTAGCTAGCATTTGCGCGCGACTCCATCCGCGTGGAATTAAAAAAAGTAAATAGCCTATGTGTTCTTCTAGAGTATCTTCCACCTCTATGTCAAATTTCAGACGTTTAGGCTACAAACATTCATTCATCTAAACTTTCGCATTTATAATATTAGTAAGAAGTAAGATAGCTGGGTCGTTTTATCGTGAATCGTGGGGTAATTTGGTTGTTAAAAAAATTGCATTAAATCTACTGTTATTCATAAAAATCTATTCAACACGCTTTTCAATACGTTGCTCGCATGCCAGTGTTACTTAAGTAAAATGAATGAAACACATAATAAAATTAAGAGCCTGTCTCTGTCTCCCCACTGGCTGATAGAGGCTCAGATAGCTTAAAAATGACTTCACTGTCAGAGTCAGATAAGGGAACAAAAACTGATATTTTCATCACATATTTTCACGTTTGATTGTTAATGTTATTATTATTACTGGCCCTAAATGTCAACATGTCAAAGGCATAGGATGGATCCCTCTCGCAAATAGCGTTAGGGATGATTTCCAAAAATATTATTGTTTTTAATTTGTCAAACTTGGAGTTTGTTAAACCGGAAGAGGGATTTAAAGAGTCTTTGACTTTCACTTTTCTACAAACCTTTCAATACTGTGTTAAGAATACTCTCAGTGCCATCTATTGGTGATTTGTAAACATGTTTTACTACAATGTCACTGGATGACACCGTTTACATCGTCGTTAATTTAACTACTGATCGAATACTGAAACGACATTTTATTATGTACGCTTTTGATAGATGAGGGCACGATTAATCCAAATTCCATTAAGTTTTAACATTTGTAGTTGTAAGCTTTGTATCGAGATTTCGTTACACAATTTATGAGAATCTGACGTAACCACAGTAGAAAATATTCCAATTTGATTTACATTGAAAGCCGATTTTGAGATTCTAATAAAACTAGATATACATAGACTACGCTCCTAATGCATTAGGTTCCATAAATCTGTCAAGAGAGGGCGCCACGGCACTTAGCCACAACCTTTCACCCGGAAGCATAAAAACTCCTTTTCACCAAACAACGACGCGACTAATGTTATATAAATTAAAAGATTTAAGAAATATGTAGACTAGACAGGGGACAACATTTTTTCACCGGTAACATCTTTGAAAGGTACTTTGTTAGTTGTCAAGTTTAGTGCCAACTCATGTCCTCGTTGGCAACTATAGTTTGTCTAAATAAGATAGATTGGTTTGATAAATGACGCATGAAGTATCGAATTCAATTTGTATGAGGTCCAATGCCGTACTTAATAGACAGGTATCGTAGTGACGAGACAAACACGCATAGATAACAATTATGAACTATCGATATTGGGTTTTAATAACTAAAAATATTATTTCCAACCTCTACAAGAATAAAAATCGAAAAACGATAAGATTCATGACTGATTTTACACAGCCCATCCCTACTATATTTCCAATGAATTGTCAAACTAATCTATCTTATTTAAACACATTATAATTTCCATACAATTAATTATATTGACATGTTTTGAGGATCTATCAATAGATAGCGCTAGTAGTTCATGTCAAAAATCCCAAGTGAAGTGTCAACTATGTTTCCTCTATATATTGTTTGAACATCTTTGTATATAAGAATGTAATTCAAAAACTACTGAGGCGATTAAAAAAATATTTCATAATTTCACTGACGCATTATATTAAAACTAGCTTTTGCTCGCGATTCCGTCCTATATGTTCTTCCCAAGTATGTTCTACATCTGTGCCAATTTTCATTGAGATCCGTTCAGCCGTTTAGGCTACACTCTAACAAACATCCATCCATCCAAACTTTCGCATTTATAACATTAGTAAGAAGTAAGATTTGTTTATTCCGTAGGAACGAAGTCCCGAGTAAATGTTTTGGGGTACAATGTGTAATTCGTCTATTGTATGGCTAGTGGAAAAGAGTCTTAACCAATCACTTTAAGTAAATGCCTGCCTGGATTTAGGCTTTGGGACTAAATTACTTTGAAGCTTATACTGAACTAACTTTTCCCTACTTCAACTTGCATGGTGCTTAAATTGCTGACACGATTATAACTTAATTGTTACTTAGCGAGTTACCTGAGTAACATAAATATTAAGTTCCTTAAGTAAATACTTAAGTAAGTAGACGTCTAGTAAATGGTTAGTAGTAGAAACCCCACAAGATAAGACTCAACAATTTTTTTTTAAATTTTTTATTTCTGAAAAATGACAACATGGTAACATAGGTCACTCCCGCCAAACCACTTACTTGTAAGTGTAGCACCTTTTGAACATTTGTAAATCACAAATCCGTTCAGCCGTTTAGGCTACAAACTCTTATAAACATCCATCCATCTAAACTTTCGCATTTATAATATTAGCATGATTAGTATGAAGTATGAAGTATGATAAGCATGCAAAATTACAATGAAATAAATAAAAAATTACTAATATTATAAATGCGAAAGTTTAGATGGATGGATGTTAGAGTTTGTAGCTTAAACTGCTGAACGGATCTCGATGAAATTTCGCATAGATGTAGATGATAGTCTGGAAGAACACATAGGCTACTTTTTATCCGTGGGACTTTTTTTTTTTTTTATGTTTACTCGACAATTCTGCAACGGTTCTATATATCTTATTGAAATTTGGCACAGATATAAAACAAATTCTGGAGTACACATGGGAGATTCACCCCTGAAAAATGTCCGGTTCTCAAGGGACACGTAGTTTTTTGCTATTTACATAGTTCGTCTGTTTTCTAATACCAGGCGGATGAAGTATCAATTCAAAGCTGACTTACGTTAACGCTGTTGAGTGCAAAATACAACCTCTTTGGCTGACAAGCAGTATGTATACAGCCAAAGAGGTTGCATACTGGCCACCAAGGCATTTATCGTTGTTTGTTAAAGAAAATATACAAAGGAAGAATTCGAGATGTGATCAAGATAGTTTTGAGTTTTTGTATGTATTTGTGTAAATAAGTTTTAAAGTTTTAAGCTGTCGGTAACAAGTTAAACAAACGCTTATTACATTTTTATAGGGGTAAAGTTTTATATAGAAATTGTATATTTCATTGTACAAGTGAAGGGGAAGATTAATGAATAAAAAATGAGTTTGGAAATGAAAAGCAAACAGGTCCGACCGCTTCACCCTTTGCCCTCGCAGCCGCCGAGACATCTTATAGTTGAAGTTGAGATTTGATATTTCAGACTAGCTGTTCCCGTGCGGCTTCATCCGCATGAAATTATAAAACCATTTTATTTACATCTTACTAACATTATAAATACGAAAGTTTAGATGGATGATTGTTAGAGTTTGTAGCCTAAACGGCTGAACGGATGTTGATGAAATTTGGTACACAAATAGAGGATAGTCTGGAAGAACACATAGACTAAGTTTTGTTTTTTTTTAACTCCACGCGGACGGAGTCGCGGGCGAAAGGTAGTTTGTCATACTATCATTTGCAAATATCAAAATTGTAGCTTGTAGTTTATGGCCCCTTTCCCACATGTAGGATTTTTTTCTAAACAAACCTTGCGGCGTTCAGTGGCGGCCGACTTGAAGGTAATCGGGCTGTCATGGTCCGAGATACAACGCAGAGCCCAAGACAGAGCGAGCTGGCGGCTTACTGTGGACGTCCTCTGCCCCACTTTGGGGACATAGGAATAAAATAGAGAGAGATATACCCCCAAGTTTAAAAGCGTGAACCATTAAATGTGCTGCGAAACAATCGACAATCGCAAAAATGTTGTGCGATTGCTTAATCAAAGTGTGTGTCCGCTCTAATATTATAAATGGTAAAGTTTACATGGATGGATGTTTGTTAGAGTTTGTAGCCTAAATTGAATGTATCTCGGTGAAACTTGAAATAGCTGTTAGTCCAGAAGAAAACATAGGCTACTTACTTTTGTTTTTTTAATTCTATGCGGAGTCAAAGGCGAAAACTAGTTATTTTGTTGTTCAAATATTTACACCAACCCTTTTTCCCTACCCTAAATAAATCATTGATACATCAAGGTAATTCTTTCCTCGCAACCTTAGATAAAACTGACACGTTGAAACCTTTGATAGATTTATAACTTTACTCC